CTCTTTTGTCTGTAACTCACTATTATTTGTCTATTTGTTTTCCTGAGAAACTATTTTGTAGACAATATGTAAAATGATAACCATTGATAATTTCCTACCATTTTGTCTGTAATTTGCTAAGTCCCCCCTATTATTGTTATCCTTCTTTTATTCTTTAAAATAAAAATAAATAAATAAATAAATAAATAAATACAATGGAGTACTACTCTGCCATAAAGGACAAACTCTAAACATTTCTAACTAAATGGATGTACCTTGAAACCATACTCTTTAAGTGAAATGAATCGGACACACATTTATTAAATTGTTTCTCTGGTATAAGAAACTCCAAAAGTGTAAATAAGGGCCAAAATGTGTAACAGACACTGGGAAATGGGAAAAAAGGAAAAAAGTTCAAATGAGAAGGGAAAAAAGGGAGGAGGAGGGGGAAAAGGAAGGGACAAGAAAACAGAGGGAAAAAATGGAAACAAATTTTTGTAAATAATGTGGGGAAGAAAAGGTGAAGGGAGGGGGAAAAGGTGTATCATGAATAGGCAGATTCCTTATGATGAATATTATCATTATGTACATCTAAAATGTACCAGGAAACAAAAAAAGGCAGCAGACTTTTGTGTTTTGTTTGTTTTATTTTTGTCTTTTTGAGAGAGGGTCTCCCTATACAGTTCAGGCTGAACTTGAGCTCACTTTGTAGCCCAGGTTGGTCTCAAGCTCACAGTCCTCCTACCTCAGCCTCCCAAGTGCTGGGATTACACTCGGGAGGTGTGTACCACCCCACCTAGCTCAGGCAGCAGATTTAAGGTCCATTGAGAGCCTGACATGGGTTGGGCAGGCCGCAGTCTAGCTTTGGGCATGATGAGCTGTTTATCCACAGGGCTGACCAGGACAGCACTGGAAAAGAGGCTGGCGGTATGGCCAGGGGTAGCGGCAGTTGCTGCAGTCCAAGTTACTCCAGAAGCTGCAGCAGCTTAAAGATCATTTGAGACCAGAAGATTAGGGCCAGCCAAACTGACACAGTGAGATCCTGTCTCCCAACTACTTAAATAAATAAACCAACCTGGGGTGGAGGTAGGAATGGAAACAGAACAGGTAAGCTGCACAGAATGGTGGGAGACTAGCTGGCCTATGGCTGGGAGGCACAGAAGGCCCGGGCCAAGGCCGAAGCCTGAGCCCTGCCTGTATATGACTCAACTAAGAGCCCTGGCAGAGCCACTATGGGCAGGTGAACCAGGCCAGGCAGGGGACAGAGCAGGTCTGGGAAGGCACCTACAGTGTTCTTTACAAGACCACAATAAATCCAGCTTCAATGTTGTTTCTCAAACCCTAGTGTTGTCCCTCTGGCTGCCAAAGTGAAAACTGCAGAGCATCAGAAGTTGTTTTGGTGATGGACAAGTATGGGAATGGTGAAAGACCAAACCACACAGGACCAGAAAACTCGGGAGTGACAGAGCATCTCCCACCCTGATAAATACAACACTGGCACAACAGATGTGACAGCCATGACTCCACACTCATCACGTCCCCACTGCCTCCTGCTCAGCAGAGGACCTCTCCATGTGGGAGGGGCCTGTTTCTTCCAGGGGCTGCAGCTGCAAGGACAGCTGGAAAGAGTACAGGAGGCCTAACTCTAGATTAGACAGCTGTTTTTATTCCTTAGGAACAAAGACATGTAAGGAAGAAACTCCAAAGGAAACAGGAGCATGGATGACAGAATGACACCAGGGTGGCCTGGCACACTCCACAGAGGACCTGGTCACGGCCCTGGTTCCTTGGATCTACATCTGCCCTGTCCCCAGGCAACCATCTTAGCAGTGGAGAAGGCAGTTGTTGACATGGAGAACTTGCCCACTTGACATGAAGTGAATAAACGCACTTGTCTATTCTGAGAGGCCCAGGGACACCAAAACTTTCCTCTCAAGAACGGAGGTAGGCAGAAAAAAATGAGAGGAGACTGGGTGTCACAGACAACTAGAAAGCAATCACAGTGCCACTGGGACTGAGAGTAGGTGCCAAGATGGGATGAGAAGGGAAGCAAGAACTGGTTAAGACAGCTCTTCATTCTGTGTGGAGCTGGTCAATCTGCCAAACTGGCCCCAAGGCCAGTTATAATCACACCAAAGGACGTTGGCCATGTTGACTCAGAAGCCATTATCCTTTTCCCAGAGGATCCTTCTATCCCCACTTCTGGCACAATCTGTTGCCTGCAGCCTGGTCCTCTGGAGAACAGATTAACAAGGGACATAAGCCCAAGATGCAATAGCCTCCATAGCAGGCTATCTTTAAGAGCAAGGTGCTTTGGTGTGGCCTAGGTCACACCTAACCCAAACAACATATCAAGGGACTCATTTCCATGCTACAGAGTGGCCTCTGGCTGCTGCTTAGCAGTGAGGACAGAGGTCACGCCCGGGTCCCCATCACAGTGAGGTCTCCTGGAGGACAAAGGTGGGACTGAGCCCCTCCTGGCTTGGCCCGTCTTCAACAATTGCCCACTTGTCTCCACTGTCCTGCAGCATGCCCTTCCTCATCTTCTCTGGATACAGGCTGTTGTCCATGGAGACGTCCTGGGCACATGCAGAGCAAGGTGGGGATGTGGTAAGCCACGTACACAGGAGAGGGGAGGGGCCCTCTCTGACCTGCCAGGAGAGCGTGCGGGGGCGGGGGGGGGGCAGTTCGGGGAGCAGGGGCTGGGGAGGGCTGGGGAGGGCTCTGGGGTGGCCAGACCCCTGATCCTTCTGACCCCCAAACCAGCACAGCCCACCCTGTGTGTGAGGGCTGGGGCGGCTGCTGCAGGAGACGGTCAGAGAGCGGGGCTCTGGGCACAGGACACACAGACGGGGATGGAAAGGGACCTGGCCAGGAAGGGAGGGGATCGCGGGACAGAGGCTCCCACCTGGCTGTGGCTTCGGCAGCAAAGCCGCTTCTGACAGGACAAGGGCAGGAGGGCGAGGAGTCTTGGCAGCACAGGGTAAATGGTCTGAGGGTTCAGGGTCCGGCCCCGCATCCGCCCTGCAGGTAAAGGTGCTTCTGAGTCTGCAGAGCAGCGAGGCCTCTGGAGCCCTCTGGAGCCCAGCCCAGCCCACCTCCCAGATCTCAGTCAGGAGGCTGGCTGCTCCCAACACCCCAGGCTCCGAGGAGGACAGAGCCCCCAGAGACTCCCTCAGCCCCTCTTCATTTCTCTGTCAGTAATCCCACACCCTTACCGGTGAGCAGACTGACAATCAGGCCCACCACAATGACAGTGGTGGAGTTGTGAGCGCTGTACCATAAATACGACAGGGAATAGAACCGCTGTAACCCTGTGGGCCTGGGAGAGCACAGGGGTGAAGACAATTAGCAATCTATTGACAGGGCATGCCTCAGGCTCCCGGCTCCCACTTGCTTGGTCTTAGAACCCAACACTTCTCTGAGGCTTCTGATCCCTTAGCAAGGACATTGTCAAGTTCCTCAAAACTAAGCTATTAGGTCAGGCCTGGTGGTGCTCTCCTATAACCCCAGCACTCAGGAGGCTGAGGCAAGAGTTCAAGGTCAGTCTGAATTACAAAGTGAAACCCTGGCTGAAAAACAAACTACGAAGCTACCGACCCCAAGGAGAAAAAGAATATTCGCGCCTCACTTGGAGAGGGTGGTCAACGGCATCACGGTGGTTACAGTCACATTGGTCAGATTGCTGGGCAGGGAGAAGTTGGACACATTCAGGGAAGAGGCTGCCGTGCCAGAGCCCATGCCAGTCACTAGACTCCCGATGCCGATCCAGAAGGCCATGATAAGTCCAGCCAACAGGCCCACAATGGCACCCTGCCAAAGACATGGTGTGTTCCCCTGTCACAAGGCCAACTACACCACACCTTCACAAACCACCCTGTGTGCAGGACCGTGGAAACAGATGCATTACTCACAGGAGGGTTGGCACAAGGAAAGAATATTCCAAGGCAGAAGAGTCCAAGCAGTGGTCCCCCGACCATGCCGAAGATACTGAGTGCTGCCTGGGAAAGTCAAGGTGAGAGAAAAAGGACAAAAGACACCTAGGCTCAGAGAACCCAGCCTCAATGGCACAGAGCTCAGCCACCAGCGAATGCCTCAGCCTTGTTCATTAGCTGTGTGGTTCTGATATCTGAGACCACCCTAGGAGGCAGGAACGGTTAAGGGCGTGCAGCCTCCTTAGAGGCTAATCACTTGGCCTCTGTGAGCCAACATCATCCCAGAAATGACCCTGGGGATTTGACCACATGGGAGTCTGTCTTTTTTTGGTTTTTGGTTTTTTTCTGGTACCAGCAATCAAACTCATGACCTCACACTTGCCAGGCAGGCACTGTGACACTGAGCTAATTCCCCAGCCCCAGGAATCTCTTCATAGGTGAAAGTATTCCAGAAAGGAGAAATTTCTGACCCTGACCCTTAAGCCATTCCCCTTAACACAGCCACAATCCTCAATTTCTTGTTTCAATCAATTGTTCCCCATCCTTACCAAATACTTTTTCCTTTCCTTTCAGTAGTTATTACCTGTAGCAAGGGTCCCACCTGGGAGGAAACATAGGCCATTCCCAAACAAAGCAGCCCATAGCCAAAGGCTGGAGAAATGGAGAAAAGAAGAAACAAACCAATGTGAATAAACATTAGAGAAAGTGGAGCAACTTCCCCAAACCATGGTTTTGGGTCTCTGGAGAGAGCCTATGGCCTCTTGCCCCAGCTCCAGATCCCTCCACCTGTCATTCCCATGTGACTCAGAAAACACCAAGCCATAAACAGCTATAGAGTAAGGCTGCCTGCTTCAACAGGCAAGTGCTGGGCTAGAATAAAGTGAATATTCTACTGCACATTGATGGTAATGGTCAGGAGGTATCTCAGAAAGAACAAAACTGAAGATATATGGAAGCATAATCCCACCGAGGCTTCTGGAAAGCATGATGGCCCGGGTTTCAGAGAATTCAGGGAACCAGGGTTGAATCAGGTCTTCCATTGTGACAGTTGCCAATGAATTAAAAGCAGAGGAAATGGTGCTAGAAAGGAAGAAAGAATAAGTAGGGATGTGTCTGGGAGCTAAGAGCAGAACTAACAGGGAACTCTAGAGGGAGCAGTGCCCTAAAGGCACCAGTGATGGTATGGGCAGCCAAGAAACCACGCTCACAGCTGTAGGCACTGCTACCTCAGAGGAGGCCTGGAGGGCAAGGACACTGTCCTCTCCTGAGGAGAGTCCAGCTTGTTCAAGTGGATTTATTTCTGGTATTGTGGAATAAACTTTATCCGAGACAGGGGCATGTATTGGGAGGGGCTGTGCTCTCTCTTCCACAGACAAGCTTCCCTTATCTGTGTGTCACAATGTGTGGCAATGGATGGTACAGGTCTCCCAGCCCACCTGTCCCGGCATACCATGCCCAAGACAACTAGTTGAAGGGGTACCTGAGGGAGCCGCTGAAGAGGCAGGCAACAAAGAGCCCAGGGAGGCCTGGCAGGCCTTTCAGGAGATCCATCACAAAGTAGAGGACAAACTGAAGGCAGAACAGAGCACAGTCTTCTCAGGGTATGCCTCCCCCTGTGGTCTGTCCCTACATACACACACGCGCATGCGCACCTCAGTCCAGGGACCTCCCCAACAAGCATAGGAAATGGGCTCTGTAGAAAGAATGACACCACCACCCCCCAGCTCTACCCTGACCAACAGTGTGATATCAGCACACTGCCTATCGTGCTATGTGTGTTTCTCCTCTGTAAAATCAGGCTGTCAGGAGACTTCGGTGAGAACAGGCATGTGCCAACTCCCAGCAGAGCACATGATGTACAATGTGCAGTCAATAAAACTAGGTCCTCACCCCCAAGTCAGGTGAGCACTGATAAGGTGATGCCTGGGGTTACCATGTGACATGCTAGATTGCTGGAACCTCAGCATAGGAGAGGGCTACATATCTACCATCCACCCAGGAGGGGCCTCTCAGGGGGATAAGGAAGGAGCCTGCCTGGCCTTCTCACCTGGTCAGGAGCTGCCTGAGCTTGCTGGCTGCTCAAAGGAAACTCTTGGTAATAGGCGAACATGACCAGGCCAATGAGGCAGCTTATACAGAGCACTATCTGCTGGCAGGGGAACACTGCATAGCAGGAGCTGCAAAAGAGGCCGTTATTGTGGGGAGACAGTGAGCAGGCACTCAGGCTCGTCCCCCTGAGCCTTCACAAAGGAGGCCCACATCCCGATCACAGAGGGCACACGTGTACCCTGACCTTCTGCCCCACCCCCACTGCCCTTGCCCCATTTCCTGTCCCTGCACTTACAGCACAGCAGCCTTCTCTGAGTGGGAACTGAGGTAGCGTTGCACCTGCGCCTGGTTCACCCCGTATAAGGAGAGCATCATGAAAACTCCCCCAAAGGCCAAGGTCCAGAACGTGTGCCGCACAAAGGGGTCCGGATTCAGCCTGCAACAGATACCACCCGGTCACTGTGCCACAGCCTCAGACTCCCACTTAGTCGACCTGTTCTCCTGGCAAGAGGGGTAAGCGGGGAGCAGAGTGGACACTGTTCCTAGGCCAAGGGAGCTACTGACAGCAAGGAGCTGGGTGAACCCAAGAGACAGCACAGCAAGCTAAAGGGAGGCTTCCATTTCTCCACCTCACCTTATCCCAGGTCCTCATCCCCACCCTCCACAAACACCAATCGGCATCTGTGATACCTGCCCCTCTGCAAAGCCGGCTTCCTGCCCATGCAGCATTGTACCCAAGGCCTCCTAGCTTGCCCTCTGCTTAGTGTAGCCCTGACACTGGGTTCTGGGGCAGACTCAGCTCCCAGGTGATACAGAGCTCAACCAGGGGAAGGTGGTACTTACTCGATCCCGGAGATGAGGTTGTGCTGGGAAGCCACATCCCACACACGCCCTATGCCGCCCACTTTGGCCGACCCCACAATAATAACAGCCACCTGCCCTAGGAACATGACCAGTGTCTGAAACACATCTGTCCAGATGACAGCCTTCAGCCCACCCTGCAGGGAAAAGACAGCACACTGGTCACAAATGTCACCCAGACTGTCCACAAGGAGGACACCACCATACCAGATGAGGGGGCTGGCTACCCTGCCATCAGGCACTGAGACTGCTGGCTTCGTTCTCCTCTGTTCTCTACCTTTACAGCCAACCTCTCTCCCATGTCTCATCCAAAATTAAACCTCATTCCACTCTACCCAAGAATTTCATCCCATCTCCTACCTCTACTCTTTTTTCTATCTCTACTCTTTTTTTTTTTTTTTTGAGACAGGGTCTTGCTATGCAGTTCAGGCTGGCCTTGAGCGCACTGTGTAGCCCAGGCTGGTCTTGAACTTGCAATGATCCTCCTGCCTCAGCCTCCCTAGTGCTGGGATTACAGGCATGCGCCACCATGCCCGGCTCTACCTCTACTCTTACACATTTACATATACTGTGTTCTGTTTTGCTTGAGACACAGTCTGGCTACATGGCTTAGGTTTCTCTAACTACATAGCCCAGGTTAGCCTTGAACTCTTAGTGATCTTCCTGGTTTAGCCTCCTGAGTGCTGGGATTAGAGGTATGTACCACCATGCCAGGCATCCCCCCTGTATGCTTTTTTTTTTCTTTTGTCTTTTTGAGACAGGATTTTACTATGCAGTGCAGGCTATCCCTGAACCTACTTTGTGGCCCAGGAAGATCTCGAACTCACAGCAATCCTCCTGCCTCACCCTCCCAGAGTGCTGGGATCATAGCATGTGCCACTATGCCAAGCCCCCATCTATATTCTTATCTCAGCCCTTCTTTCTCTTCTCCCACTTCCCCTCCATTCTTCTGGGGTCAATGCACTTACCAGTGCAGTGTAGATAGTACAGACAATGCCCACGGTCAGCACTGAGAGCCACAGGTCAAAGCCTGTCACTGTAAACAGAGAGAAATCACACTCCTATCTCTCAGAGAAGGCTTCCCAAGGCAGAAGCCAGAGAAGCCCTGATAGGGGCAGCGATGGCAGGTCATACAGATGAAGCAAGTAGTCACTAAAAATGAAACAAATCATTTATCATGATAGGGGGGATGTGTGCAGAGCACTACCTAGAGGTGAGGGTTAACAAATTGACATAAAGCATGGTAATGTCTGATCAACTTTCAAATGAAGCAAAGCATGCCTGTTTCCACCTCTGGTAGAGACCAACCCAAGCAGCTCATGCACTAAATCAACTCCCGTCCCAAGGCCATGCTTTCTGGCTCACTGCCCTTCCCAAAGGTATTTTCCCAGCCTGCTACAGCTAGCAGCCAGGGGCTGTGACTCCTCACCTGCATTGAGGGCCAGGGACGGCGCATAGAGCACAACCCCCATGTAGATCACCTGTTGGACAAGGGAAAGGAGGTGAGAGCTACATCTCCAGTGCTTCCTCTCACCCACGCTCACTTTCCTCTCTCTTCCCAAAGTCTGGCTTACTTCAGCTACCAAGTCTGTGGGTAGCACCAAGCAGGGTGCCAGAGGGACCTTCACCACTCACTACTCACACTGACCCCTCCCAGGAATTTCAGTCCTGCCAGGCTGAGAGCATCCCTGAGCTCAGCTCCCCCTCCCATGCCCCTGGCTCAGCTTCTACACCTTCCACTCACCATCTGAAAGATAAAGGTCACCGTTCCACAAATCCGCACTGCTTTATTGAATCGGAGCTCCAGGTACTGGGCAGGAATAAGGGGGAAAAGGTACAGTACTCCTCTTGACTCCACCACACTCAGCAATGTCCACTGCATGTCCACTTGGCCCCCTCAGCACAGCGCTCTCCCGACTCTGCCTCCCAACCCTGGCTCCACCAGGAAGAACTGAAAAACTCAGGAGTTTTCTGCCATTCTTCTTAGGTGGAGGTGATATGGGGTCCCAGCTCCCTCACATGTGCCCTGTCCCCCTTTCCTTTTCCTCCTTCCCACTCACCTCATAGGTGCTGGTGAGGTGCAGGCGGTAGAAGACAGGGATGAAGACATGAGCAGGGATCAGTAGCCCCAGAAAGTAGCAGCAGCCCAGGAACCAATACTGGGTCCCAAATCGGTAGATCTCAGATGGCACGCCCAAGATGGCCACAGCTGACTGGAACGTGGCCAGCAGAGACAGTGCCACAGGAAAGCAGGTCATTTTGCGGTCCGCCATCAGCAGCTGGCCAACAGTATGGTGGCCCCAGCCACGACAAGCATGGTAGAGCCCAATGGCCAGGGAGAGCAGCAGCAGCAGGGCAAACACCACATAGTCCACCAAGGAGAAGATGGGGGCGGCGTGGGTCATGTCCGAGGTTGTGACGAGTGGGGCTGAGGTGCTCACCCCTGCGCTCATCCTCACGGCGTCTGTGCTCTCCCAAGCCAGCCACTGCTCCTGTGATCTGGGCGGCTACTCAGGTGGGCAGGAGCAGGCAAGCAGCTACGAGTTGGCTCTCAACCACGGTCTCACAATCTTCCACCGCCCAGGGACATGGTCCAGGGAGAGCTGCAAAGAGTCAGTTACTAGTCCTGCCTTCATGACTGTCTATCCTCAGGCTGGGGACATGCCAGCCCCATCAGATTTAGACCAGCCAGCACAGTGGTGACAGCCCTGGAAGGCCTGTATGGGGTGTGGAGGTTGAGATAGAGGAGGAGGAAGCAGCACAGTGAGACAGTCAGGAGACAATAACTTGGCGAGGACCTCTGGGTGAAATTTAAGAACATTCTTGGGCCTCACCCCGAGAAGCAAAAGAAAAACCAACTTTGGTCCAAGCTTCTCAGAATTCTCCAGCAGACCCCAGCCTGGCGCCACAGCTCCGTGGGGAAGAAGAAACACAGATAGTGATAGCAGGGATTCCCTTGCTCTCCCTGTCTGACCTCCCATGTCCCAAGGTCACCCTCCTAACCACACTCCTCCTCAGCACTGGGCACCAGAGAGCTTTCACCAACTTCGTACCGGGCAGCAGCAGGCTGACTGCTCTGGGCATTTTCTTTTCCTTTTTTTGGTTTTTTGAGACAGGGTCTCCCTATTTACATAGTTCAGGCTGGCTTTGAACTCCTCATCCTCTTGCTTCAGCCTCTGGAGTGCTGGGATTAAAGGCGTGGGACCTTTCTTAACATTATCCCAACACCACTAGATGAGCCCTGCAGCCCCTCCACCTGCCTTGACACAGCCTGTAATCCCAGCACTCGAGAGCCTGAGGCAGGAGGATCACTTTGAGTTTCAGACCAGCCTGGGCTACCTAGTGAGTTCAAGGCCAGCCTGAACTACACAGTGAGACCCTGTCTTAAAAAAAAAAAAAAAAAAAAAAAAAGTGGGAAGATTAAAAAATGAGAGAGGCAGATTCAAGGATTTAGCTCAATGATGAGGTGCCTGCCTAACAAGCACATGGCCCTGGGTTCAATCTTCAGCACCCCCAGCACCCCCAGCACCCCAAAATTTAAAAGGCAAAAAGAGCAAGCGTTAAAGTACCATTCTGCAGCCAGTGATTCAAAGTTAAGATTCCAAGACCACTCTGGAGAGAAACAAGCCAGCCAGAGCAGTCCGATCTCATAGGGCAGTCACCTACCCCAAGAAGCAATTCCTGTTCTGAGGTAGAGCGGCCCGGAGCTGGGTAGAGGCTGAGGGTCTGACTCTGTAAGTGGCTGAGGAGAGGATTAGGCACTGGGGGTAGGGGAAAGCTCAGCAACCGTTTCAGGAACCAATCACTATGATCCAAATGGCCTTCTTACCCTGTAGCCACCAACACAGCCCTAGCAGTTATATCGAGGGAGGCAGGGAGCTCACATTCAACAGCATTCCTAGATGGATTACGCTTTTAGTCTAAATCATTTTTGGCACCTGTGTGCTGGAGAGAGGTGGAAAGGAAGAAATGAGAAGACCAAGAAGTTGCCTTTGTAATTCCTACACAAGAAATTGCGATCCTCCAAGAACACACTACAGTCCTCAGAGGAGCAAAGATAAGAGTGCAGTTTCTCAAAACCTAAAGAGTTCTTAGGATGTTGCTCTTACAGCCCCCCTCACTTACACACAAGCACATTAAGGCCCAGATGGTTCAAGTGACCTTTCCAAGGGCACAACCAGATTAGAATCCAGGTCTAGTGATTCCCCATCCATCCTATTCTGTGTATACTGTCTTGTCTTCACAATCTCCTAGGACAGTGGTGGCAAACCTATGGCACATGTGCCACAGCAGGCTGTTTGTATCACTGAAAGCTCTAAAAGGTTCACTATTATTGCCCCATGAGCACTTACTGGTATGGAGAAAAAACATCGGAGAATATTTAAATACTATGTGCGCAAACAGCCTAACATGACAGTTAACATTTTCTGAACACCTGCTATGTACCCCAAGAGTTTGCTAAGCGCTTTATAAATATTAATAATACTAAACAATGAAGTAACAACCATTGACACGATTCACCAGCGGCCCTGCCCTCATTACTCCCAGGACCAGGACAGAAGCCAAGTGTGAATTGTAGTCAGTCATCAGGAACCCAGTTTAGACTTTAATCTAGAGACAGATTAATTCAAACCGTCTTCTGCCTCTACTCTAGAAGACCAGGCTGTCTTCTGGTATAGTCTTCCTAGGCAGACGTTGCCTGGCTGGTAAGTCAGGCTTCACACTGACTAAACCTGCACTCTGAACCTCCTAGAGCCAAAGAAAGGAAATATCAGAGCTGGCAACTTTTGATCGCACGTCCTCCAGTCACAACAGCTAGTCCCTAGAACAAGGTTCTCACTCTTTAAGCCAAAGATGGCCCGGGCCTTTGCATACTGCAACATCTTGACTTTTTCATTCCTCTTTGGCAACTATTTACTGTTATGATAGACATGATCAGAACTCCTATAGAGTAAGAGAAATACCTGCTGGGTGCACATAAGAGCGTGTGGCACTAAAGGGTTAGTGGTATGGACAGGTGGCTGGAGAAAGAAAGACCCCAGGACAGAGAGGGACTGTCTACTACTGGAGGAAAACCAATAGGGCTTCCAGATAAAGTTGTTTCCATGAAGTAGAGAATCTCCTGGATGACTGATGAGAGAACCTGGCAAGACAGGAAAAACCCAACCCTGTAACAATGTCTTCATCTGACAAGTTTCAATTCTAGGAATAGAGCAGCTTTCTAAAAATTCTGCCCATCAGACTTGCCTTTCTTAGTGGGAGCCAGAAGGAAGAGCAGGCTTGTGTCCTTCGCCGGGTTTGCTGCACTAAAACTGTAAACACTGGGCCACATACAAGTGAGAGGGGCCTATTTATTTATTTTTGGGTTTTTTGAGACAGGGTCTTGCTTTGTAGTTTAGTTCAGGTGGGCCTCAAACTTGCAGTGATTCCCCTTCCTCAGCATCTTGAATGCTGAGATTATGGGCCACAGGTATACATCACCACACCCTGCTGGGTGAAGAACCTTTTAAAAAGACCTTATTTAGCAGGGTGTGATGGCAAATGCATGTAATCCCATCACTCAGGAGACTGAAGCAGGAGGATCGCCATGAGTTCGAGATCAGCCTAGCCTGCACAGTAACACCCTGTCTCAAAAAACCAAAAACAAACAAAGCAACCTTAGTATGGCCAGGCGTGGTGGTACACACCTATAATCCCAGCATTTGGGAGGCTGAGGCAGGAAGATCACAATGAATTGAGGCAGCCTGGGATACATAGTGAGTTTAAGGCCAAAATACACTGCATTGCGAGACCCTGTCTCACACAAAACAAAACAAGCCAGAAGAAAAACCAAACAACAGAAAAAGGAGTAGGCATGGAACTCACTTCTTCCTGGGTTAAATCCTAAATACTGCAAAAAATAAATGAATAAACGGCCAGCTAGCTGAATGTAAGGTCAAGAGAGTCCAAGGAGACACCTGGGACACTCTGAAAGGAAAGTCTGGGCTGGCGGCTCAAAATGAACTCTGGTGGGCCGGGGATATATAGCTCAGTGGCACAAGCGCCTGCCTGGCAAGCGCAAGGTTCTGAGTTCGATTCCCGGTACAAAAAAAAAAAAAAGAATTCTGGTTCCATGGGCTATTGGGAGAACCCTGCCCAAAGCCCACACTTTGCCCCAGCGCCCTTCAGTCAGGACCTGGGCACCGTCGGACCGACCGCACCTTACCTCCGTGGTTCAGCCAGGGCTACCAGGGCTAGAAAGACCGCTTTTTTCTTTCCGAGATCAGCATCGCTCCCTCTTCCTGGGAAGGAAAGGAATGAGGAGTTGAGTCTGTCGTCCCTACCTCTCCGCCAGGTTCCCGGACGCCGCGCGGTCTCGGGTTGAGGTGAAGTCGACTTAGCGCTCCGGGCGTTCCCAGGCTCGTGTCCTTCGCCGGGTTTGCCCTTCGCCCTGCGCTCTTCGCTCCTCCATCACCCTTACCCTCTTTCTCTCGCGGCTCCCCTCTTCACTCCACACGTGCAGCGTCCACCACCTCGCCGCCAGCACTTCGGACCTACCCGAACCCGCGCGGAGGGCATGGGTGGCTCCGCCCCTCCCCGCCTCCCTCCCACCCCGGGCCGGCTTGGCAGAGCGCCTCTGTCCCCGCCCATACCCGCCAGGCCCACCTGCGGGGTCTCCACGCCTGGGTCTCCCACGAGCCACCACGTGGCCCCGCCCCCCAGCCACAGCGCCGCCATGTTTACTGAGGGCGGATGAAGCGGCCCGAGTCGCGATAGAAGCGCGACCTCGGCGGCCAGGTTACAAAACGCGGGGCTGACGAGCCTGCGGTTGGCTGAAAAGAGCCGAGTGGCGTCGGAGGAACTTCTAGTGAAAGGGGAAAATGGTGTGGCGCACGCCTGTAACCCCAGCGCTGTTGGGAGGGTGAGGCAGGAGGTCACAAGTATGAGTTCCGCCTGGCCAACTTAGCGAGACGCTATCTCAAAAAAGGAATGGGGATGGCGCTCCATGCAAAAGCCCTAGGTTGAACACCCGGTATCGCAAAATGAAGAGGGAGTCCATAAGACAGTGTGCGCGTCCATTCCTAAAGCAGAGGACGGCGCATGAAGACGAGAGCTAACTGGCGAGCGTGAGGTCCAGATTTGAGCGCATTGAAGCATACCCTGAGATGACAGCCCAGACCCTTAGGCCACGCCCCAGGACGCCGGCCGTGACGCGTCGGGGGTGGGGCCCCGCGGCTCTCGCGAGGGGTCGAGGTCAAAGGGAGCCGAAAATGGCGCCGAGCGGGCCTGGCAACCTTATCAACCTGGTATGCTGGGCTTTGGCCCTGCTCCTCGCTCTGGGCGTGGAAAGGGCGCTGGCGCTTCCCGAGGTACAGAAACCAATTTGTGGTTGGGCTGAAGTAGGGTTGCTGAGCAGCCTTGTGTGCGCTCGCTCGCACCTATTCCCTTCTCCCTGCCGGCCTCAAACTCATTTAATTTTTGAAGCCGGTAAACCCCAGTGCCAGCCCATCCTGCTCATGAGTACTCACATCGGCCAGTCATCCGGAGCCCTCGTCCTGCCCGCATTCAAAGACCTTTGAAATTTAATTTCTTTTCTCCTTAATCTTTGAATAACTAACTGTGCCTCCTGAAACGAGTCTTCTGGCCCTTCTGTGAGCTGTCCACGCGCGAGTGCCTTACCTGGTCCTGCGGTAGACCGTACTCTGTAATGCCTGATGGGTTCTTTGTGTACCTGCAGCCTGCTACACCTGGCCAATCCAGGGCTGTCAAATGGAGAAGTCTTTGCAGAAGGCATAGGAAATATATTTAACTAGTAACTCTCAGAGATGAAGACCTTCCTTAGGCGAGGACTGGTACTGATTCCGTGTCTGACTAGGGGAACAAATGGCATGCTCTAGTCTAGTCTAATATATGACACAGCCATCTCTGCTCTATTAGAGGAATTCTGGAGAAGTATTGTCAATTAATTCTTGATTCCTGTTTGGTTTTTTTTTCTTGATTATTCTTTGTGGAGTCCTAATAAGATTTCTGTGGCATATCCTAGTCTAGCCTAATACATGATATGGCCATATCTCTGCTCTGTGTTAGAGGAATTCTAGCGAGGTACTGTCAATTAATTCTTGATTCGTATTTTTTTTTTCTTGTTTTTTTCTCTTTGGAGTCTTAATAAGATTTCTGTCTTCTGCAGGTATGCACCCAGTGTCCCGGAAGTGTACAGAATTTGTCGCAAGTGGCCCTTTATTGTAAGGAATCATCGACCCTAATGGTGCAAGCTCGCTGCTGCACGAATCAGAAGGGCACCATCTTGGGGTGAGGGAGGAGAAGACATCTTTGTGAAACAAGTTAATTCAGTACAAATAGAGCTCATGGCTTGTCGTTTCCCAAAAATTGAAGAATGAAGTTGCAAACCAAAGGAGGAAGTTAGGAGAGTTTCTCTTGGAAATAAGAAGGAAAAAAAAAGGCACCGAGTTTCTCCAGAGGGAAATCCAAAAAACGGAACTTCCACATGACCCCTCAGTGCACAACTTTTTATGGATAAGAAGAGCATGCATATTGCTCAGTTGCTTAGCGGCCACCTCATAGGTTTCTATGTGAATTTAAAATGGCCAATTGGAACTCAGGCTACCTAACCCAGTTATTCAACCTGTAGGGTTTAAAAGAAATGGGAATTTTAGAGAGAATTTAGTTATTTTGTATTTTAAAATACAAAAGCTCCTCAAACTCAGGAGCTTAGAGAGGGCTTGCAACTTTCTTTAATAGGGAGGGGCTCCTTTCTACGTTGCCTGAGGAAGTTATTTCTTAGTCCAAAATGTTAGTTCACTGCCTATTTTTGTTTTACTTCCTAGCAATATGACTGATCATGCAGCTCTATAGCACGCCCTTTCCCTAGCTAGCTGCCTTTTTCTTTTCTTTTAAAGAGAAAAAAAATAAAACAATTTCAAAACAAGATAGTAGGGTAACAATGGGTAATACATTGTGTGTTGTTATCTTTAAATTAGTAACTCAGAGTACAAGATATTGGCGTTTAATTGTTCAAACTATTATAACAAACTTTTCTTTTCAATGAACTAAGAGAGATTAGTAGTTTAGCTATCATATATATGTAATTTTTTTCTTTTTGCTTTTCCTTTCCTTTTCTCCATTCCCCCATCCCAGTTTTTCTTTGCTTTTGAAGTTTCTTCCCATTTTACAGTATCTATTATACATTTTACATCTTACTTACTCTTTCAGCTTCTCACACTAGGGAGACAATATAATGTTTGCACATGTATGTCTGGTTTATTTTGCCTGTGAGTATGGTCTCAAGTTATATCCATTTACCTATAGAAGTCTCCAGTTTGTCCTTCTTTATGGCTGAGTAGTACTCCATTATATAAAAAGACCACATCTTTTTTATCCATTCCTCAGTCGATGGGCATTTGGGTTTTTTCCAAGGTCTAACTTTTACAAATTGTGCTGCTATAAACCTGGGTGCACATGTATCCCTCTGAGGGGCTGAGGATTTAGCTCAGTGGTATAGCGCCTGCCTGGCAAGTGCAGGGTCATGAGTTTGATTCCCGGTACTGGAAAAAAACAAAAAAACAAAAAAAAATATATTAACATATATCACTCTGGTATGATGTTTTTAATTCTAGGAAGATACCCAGAAGGGGAATAGTTGGGTCAAGTGGAACCTCCAGTCCTAGTTTTTTGAAGAATCTCCACAGATTTCCAGTGGTGGTTGCACCAGTCTGCACTCCCACCAACAGTGGAAAGAGTTCCTCTTTCCCGCACAGCCCCTCCAGCATTTGTTACCAGTTGATTTCTTGATAATAGCCATTCTTTCTGGGGTGAGGTGGAATCTCAGTGTTGTTTTAATTTGCATCTGTCAAATGACCAGTGATGTTGAACCTTTTTTCATATATTTATTTGCTGTTTGTATTTCTTCATCTGAGAAGTATGTATTCATCTCAGATGCTTATTTTGGGATTAGGTCTGTAAATTTGAGAGGTCTGATTTTTTTTTTTTTTCTGGTTCTTTATACATTCTTGATAGTAAGCCCTTTCTTTTTCTAGTTCTTTATACATTCTTGATAGTAAGCCCTTGTCTGGCGAATAGCTGACAAACAGTTTTTCCCACACTGTGGGTTGTCTTTTCACTCTGTTGGTGGTTTCTCTTGCCATGCAAACTCATTTTGATAAGATGAGATCCCAGTTGTTGATTCTTTGTGATAGTTCCTGTGTGATCAGGGTTTTATTCATATAGACTTTGCCTACACCAGTGTCTTCAAGAGTTTTACCTATTCTGTCATCCAGCAGATTTAATGTTTCTGTTTTAATATTCAGATGTTTGATCCATTTTGAATTTTGTTTAGTGCATGGTAAAAGATATGGGTCTATTTTTAATCTTCAGCATGTGCAGAACCAGTTTGTCCAGCACCATTTATTAAAGAGGCTACCTTTTTTTTTTTTTGGTTTTTCTCCGGTACCAGGAACCGAACTCACGACCTTGTGCTTGCTAGGCAGGCGCTTTTGCCCCTGAGCTAAATCCCCAGCCCCAAGGCTACCTTTTTTCTATTGAATGTGTTCGGCACCTTTGTCAAAGAGAAGGTGGCTGAGTATGTCTGGAATTGTTTCTGCGTCTTCTAATCTGTTCCATTGATCTTCAGGTCTGTTTTTTTGCCAGTGCCATACTGTTTTTTTAATCACAGTAGCTTTATAATATAATTACAAGTCAGGGATTGTGATGCCCCCTGCCTTGCCTTTGTTACCCAGAATCACCTTTGCTATTCTAGGTCTCTTCAGGTTCCAAATGAATTTTGGGATTGTTTTCTCTAATTCTGTGAGATATGCTATTGGTAGTTTGATTGGACTTACATTAAATCTGTATAATAGTTTTGGAAGTATGGCCATTTTCACTATGTTGGGTCTTCCTTCCCAAGCACAAGGCATATCTTTCCATTTTGTGATATCATTTCGCTGGATTGATTCCTACGTATTTCACTTTTTTGGATGCTATTGGGAAAGGTGTTGTTTCCCTAATGTTTCTCTCACAGTGAGTTTGCCTTTTTCATTAGCTAACTAACTAAACTAATTTTTACACTTGAATACAGAAGAGTTTCCAGCCCAGAGTCTAGAAACCTTGCCTGATTGGCATTTATAATTAATATTGGTGCCTAGTTTAAAACACCTAAACCATGATTCTCAAACTTTAAAATTTGCTACAGCATTTTTGGTTTGGGTAAACAATCCTGTGTTTCTTCCTGGATGAAACTGCTTAAAAGTCAATTTTGCCTTTTAAAATAGGCTTTTATGGCATCATTTCAAAAAAAGCTTTGTTGTTTTATTTACTATCAAGTCTTTGGATTATTTACTGTTTGTGTCCAGGAAATTACCTCTGAAGACATTGCTAATATGTCTTTGCTTCCTTTTCTCTGGTTAATTCACATTATCTTTGAAACAAATTCCTCTTCGTGTCTTCTTAGCATTTTAGTCCTCATTTCATTCCTTTTGATACTCCCTGGTGGTCTAGTGGTTAGGACTCAGCACTCAGTTCACTCCATTTTTCTTTCTTCCTTTTTTTTTTTTTTTTTTTTTGGTCGTTTTGAGACAGGGTCTCGCTGTGCAGTTCAGGCTGGCCTTAAGCTCACTTTGTAGCCCAGGCTGGCCTCGAGCTCGAAATGATCCTCCTGCTTCAGCCTCCCGAGTGCTGGGTTTACGGGTGTGCGACACCATGCCCGGCTCATCTTTCTTGCTTTCCTTCTTTCTTTCTTTTTTTTTGAGTTAGGATCTCACGATGTATTTGAGGGTGGTCTTGAACTCATTATATATCCCAGGCTGGCTTCAAACTTGCCCCCAACCCAGAGGCCTCAGCCTCAGAAGTGATGGGTTTAAGGTATGTGCCATCACATCTGGCCAGGAAATACTTCAATGGGCAAGGCATGCCCAGCTGTTCACTCCTTTTTAAGAATTTGTATTTATTTTTATTTTTGGTGGGATCGGGGATGGAACCTCAGGCCTCACACATGCTAGGCAAGCACTCTATCACTGAGCTATATTCCTAAGCTGCTAGCTTTTCTTTTGGTAGTACTGTTACTGGCTTTTAGGGTACCACAGATGATTTTTAGGGATCCTTTCCAGCTTCTTGGTGTCAAAAAGTACGCTCTGGCAGAGTGAGAGCAGGCAACGAGAGAGTTCACAGTGGACAAAAGATTGATGTGGGGGAGGGGCAGTCTTTTGTAGCCCTCATTCCTCAGTCTGAGAAAGTTTTAGGCCTTCCAGTCAAAAGTCTGCTACGTTTTGCACAAGATGATAGTACTTTCTTTTTTTTTTCTTTTTGGTTTTTTGACACAGGGTTTTACTCTGCAGTTCAGGCTGGCCTTGAAGTCACTTTGTAGCCCAGGCTGGCCTCAAACTCATAGCAGTCCTGTCTTAGCCTCTGGAGTGCTGGGATTACAGGAGATAACACTTTCTGTTTGGCGGGGAGAGGGTATCAGAAATCGAACTCAGGACCTCATGCTTGCTAGGCAGATGCTGCGCCACTGAGCTAAATCCCTGGCCTGAGGTAGCAGTTTCTGATTGGTCCCAGGTGCAAGGTTTGGGAACTGTGTTCTGGGTCTCTGTAATTGACAGGTCATGCCCACTTGACCACTCTGCTCTAATACCCTGCCTCAGTACTGGGAATTGAATTTAGGGTCTTCACATGTGCTATATAACCCCAAGCCTTTTTTTAATTTTTTTTTTTTTTTTGGAGGCAGGGTCTTGCTATGCAGTGCAGGCTGGCTTGGAACTCATTTAGATCCTCCTGCCTCAGCCTCCCAAGTGCTGGGATTACAGGTGTACGCCACCGCATGCAGCTCCTAAGCCTTTTTTACTTTAAGACAAGGTCTCACTAAATTACCCAAGCTCAGTTTGAAGCTCCCGTTCTTTTGCCTCAGCCTTCCAGAGTGCTGGGATTACAGACATGTGCCATGACCCAGAATTCTCTTTGTTTAATCCTATGTTTATAACTGTTGTCCTAAAGATAAAATTCAAACCAGGAGCTACCATAACTAGTCACGACTCACTTTTCCAACATTATTCCAGTTACTTGCCCAGCCAAGCCCTCCATTAAGGGTCTGGTTCCAGCTAGATTTGCCTGCCCCCAAATGCATTCCAGTTTTGTTTCTGTGTTCAGGTCTGTCTCCATACTGAAATTGCCTTCCTCTACTAAATTAGAACATATCCATCCTTTAATTCCTACATGTTCTGTGGATGTTCCCTAGTACTAAACCCCAGAGTAATTTTTTTCCCCCAGTAATGTTTAACATTTATAGTACTCAAATTTATATATGTGCTGTCCTGTAATTTCTTTCATATTGTAGTTTTGGTTTTGGTTTTGGTGATGATCTTTTTTCCCTACCACATTGTAAGCCACTCAGGGTTAAAATACTGACTTACATGTATTGTATATTTTCCTAGTTTTTGTAGCTTGTAGGTAATCAGTAAATATTTATGAAATAAAGGAGTGAACAGCAATATATATTGAAGAAAAATAATGTGTCATGATCCTTATTGTCTAGGTGCTTACTGTGATAGCAGATGCACTTGATTTTTGTTTTTGTTTTGTTTTGAGCCAGGGTCTTGCTGTGTTGCTATATTGTTGAGGCTGGCTTTGAACTCACTATGTCATCTAGGATGGCCTTGAACTCTAGCAGATGCATTTGGAAAAACTTTATGTGACTTGCCCTTTTTTTTATTATTATTATTGAATGGTCCCTTGTGGATCTGAGAATCACATGAGATTCACTAGACAAACACAAAATTTTTTCCAGTATATACACAGTGTATAGGTGTACTGGTTGGAACAGTGTGCTCCAGTAGAACTTTCCATGGTCAGGGAAGTGTTTTGTATCTGTACCGAGCAGCACAGGAGTACAAATATCATTGTTCCACGTGCACTTGAAATGTGACTGGTGCAAGTGAAACAATTTTCATGTTAAAGTAGTGACATGTAGCTAATATTGACTATGTTAGATAATATACAGTTAATTTTTTTTGTCTTTTTTTGAGACAGGGTCTTGATATGCAATTCAGGCTGACCTTGAGCTCACTTTGTAACCCAGGCTGGTCTCGAACTCGCAATGATCCTCCTGCCTCAGCCTCCCAAGTGCTAGGATTACAGGCGTGCACCACAACACCTAGCCTTAATGCACAATTAAATATCCCAATATCTTCCATAGCACTTGGTTTGTGGCTCCAAACACAGTTCTTCAATTAATACTAGCTGAGAAGAGGGTTGCTTAATCAAATACAAACCTTGCTATGAGTGAAAAAGAGACACATAGTTAAACTAATTGCTTTATTTCTTCAGGCTGGATCTGCAGAACTGTTCTCTGAAGGATCCTGGTCCAAACTTTCCTCAGGCATATACCGCTGTTATCATGTAAGTGATTAGGTACCCCACTGCCCCAAAGATGAATATGGTGAAGTGTTAGTAGGAGACTGTCATGCACTGTTAAGGAGATAGAGAATGTTAAGATCTAAACTTGGACACATTAGAAAAAGGACTGTATTACTAGTCTAGGAGGGTATGTGAATACAAAGAGGGTGTTTTCCTCAGCACAGTCCTAACAACTTGTGCTTTGCAGAGACCTTCAGACAAACCCCCTCAAGGATGACTTGGGCGATACCTTCCATGGCTTTACACATCTTGAGACTCTGTGAGTAATAGAGTGGTGGAAGAGAACAAGAGAGGGGCATTGCTATGAATTCAGTAACTTTGGACTATTGGGGAGGTTGAACCCAGGGCCTCACACAAGCTAAGCATTTGTTCTAGCACTTAGCTACCCACCTGCCGTCCCTCAGGCTGCGCATTCTGACCATCTGTGTTGTCTCCAGGGTACTGCCACAAACTGTCACCTGTCCTGGAGGTAATAATTCCTGGGAGAATGTGACCTATCATATGAACAACAAAATCTGCAAATGGCAGAAGAACCTTTGCAATAGCACGGGGGAACCAGGTATGGTGTCCACCTTTCTGGAAACTTCTTTTCCTTCTGTATATTCTCCACTTTGGATCAGAAGGATAAAAATAGTTAAGTACTTTTTGTTCAGAGTTCTGAGGTTTTAACCCCTTGAAAAGGTGTTATTGTCATGTTCTGATATCTATAACCTTCTTTTGACCAAGAAATGATTGAGAGACTCTTAAGTTGAAGCAGATATTTGGGAAATATACCTAATGAGATCTTGTGATGTTCCTTACTTCTCTGACTCTCAGAAATGTGTCCTGAAAATGGATCTTGTCTACCTGATGGACCTGGTCTCTCGAAGTGTATTTGTACCGATGGCTTCCATGGATACAAGTGTATGCGCCAGGTAAAGAATTAGATCTTTTTATTAGGGATAATGCAATTCATAAGGCAAGAATCTTTCTGAAAAGAGAGCTACAAACAATGAGCTGGTGTCAGTCACCTAGGGGAGGAAAACTATAGGTTACTAGCACAGAACTAGGTGTTAGGATGTTGCCCTCTGTGTAACACTCTTTCCCTCTGTTAATCACAGGGCTCCTTCTCACTGCTTATGTTCTTCGGGATTCTGGGCTCCACCACGTTATCCATTTCCTTCCTGCTCTGGGCAACTCAACGCCGAAAAGCCAAGACTTCGTGAACGAAATAAGGCTTCCTACCGATCTACGATCATCCTGATCACTCTTAGCCCAGGCAGGGAGATTGCCTTCCCTGACAAGCATCATTGGGCAGAGGCACCTCCTCACGGCAGAGGCTGCTTTGGAAGGAAGATGGAAAATTGTACCACCTTGCAGTGTTGTGGACACTCAAGGTCACAAGCGAACCTGGACAGTTCTCATTTGTGCTGTTGATTACAATAAACACTCGGTTTTTTCTCCTTTCCTTTTTTCATTTTTAGGAAATAGTTTCCAGCGTTAGTACGCGTTTTGCTCGGGAGGCTGAGCTTGGGTGGTCGGGTTTTTCAGGTCCCGTGGGCGCGGGCGCTGCGGGGCGACATCACCCTGCCCCGCCCCGCACGTCAGCCCCGCCCCGCACGCTGCCGGCTGCCTGCGCCGCCGCAGTGGTTCTCCGCCCAGTGCTCCCGCGGCTACTGACTGCTGCGCCCGCCTTTCCTAGCGTTCCGCTCAGCGAGCCACGTGGACGGACTCCGGCGCGCTGTCCTTGCGTGGTTTCAGTGGGGATAGCCGCGCCCCTGTCTCTCCCTCTTTGCCCCTGCTCCGTTCCCATGGCGGCTCTGGTATTGGAGGATGGGTCGGTGCTGCCGGGCCGCCCATTTGGGGCCGCCGTGTCGACTGCTGGCGAAGTGGGTAAGCAAGCCGGGCGCGGGCTTCCAACCTCACCCAACTCTGGTGCCTCTCCCCGCCCATCCCGTGCTTCCCAGCCCCTGTCTGCAGGCCCCCCTCGCCCTCCTTCGGTGCAAATGGCTCAGCCCCTTTCGTCCTTTACGATCGAGGCAGCCTGCCGTAGGGTGTACTCTGCAAGGTAGGATCCCAAAGGGTGCCTTTGCCCCAGCCCAACCTGCCCTTTTTTTTTTTTTTCAGTGTTCCAAACAGGCATGGTTGGCTACCCCGAGGCCCTCACCGACCCTTCCTACAAAGCACAGATCCTAGTGCTGACCTATCCTCTGATCGGCAACTACGGCATCCCCCCGGATGAACTGGATGAGTTTGGCCTCAGCAAGGTGATTACACTGCTTTCTCTACATTCTTATTTTTTTCTTCTGCATTCTTTTTCTTCTCCTTTCTTTTTTTTTTTTGGTCTTTTGGAGACTGGGTTTCACTGTGCAGTTCAGGCTGGCCTTAAATTCACTTTGTAGTCCAGGCTAGCCTCGAACTCCCAGTGATCCTCCTGCCTCAGCCTACCAAGTGCAGGGATCACAGGCATGTGCCACAAGTACCAACCTACTACATTTCTTTTCAGATCAGTAGTTGTTAAACCGAGCGTCATGGTGCTCACCTGTAATCCCAGCACTTGGAGCTGAGCTGGAAGGATCTCAGGGAGGCTAGTCTGGGCTGCAGGGTGAGACCTCATTTCAAATTCCCTCCCTGCAAAATAAGTAGTGGTTAACTATTGGTTGAGACCTGCTAGGCAACCTAGAGAGAACAAAGAGCCGCAAAACCAATATGTACCAAGACTGAGTGAGAGATTAAGTTCCTAATTCTAAGACTGAGTTAGGAGCGAAGCATGGTGGCACACATCTAATTCCAGCACTCAGGAGGGAAGCTGAGGCAGGAGAATTGCTGAGTTCAAGGCCATCCTGAACTGCATAGTGAAACCCTGTCTCAAAAAGACAAAAAGTTTTTCATTCATCCTGATTTCCTCCAAGAAATAAAAGTGATCAAAAGAGAAACACTGTAAAAAAAAAAAAAAAAA